TAGCAGAAACCTGTCTCCCTGCTCTACAGCTGGCTGCCACCAAACAAAACAGTGTTCAGGTCATGTCTTCTACTGAGGGTATCTAGGGGCTGCAAGGAAGATGAACGGCTCCCAACAGGATCAGTTTGGCCAGTGGACCACAAGATGGGCACTGCTGTCTTAGAAACCATTGTGAAACCATCATTTTGAAAGGGCAGATTGAATATTTACAAGTAAAGAGATTAGAGGTTTCAGAGGGAAATATTCTGTGTTGTGAAAAGTAGTACTGGCAGCAAATCATAGTAATATCAGATCTGGTTTATTAGTTTGTTAAACAGTTACAATGGGAAGTTTAGTGGGCTGAGAGTTGTCTTGGGAACAGACATGGTATTATCTGTGGAAGTTTAGTGGCGTTTTGTGTGTAATCTTTTATCAGTAAAGAAGCTCTGGAAATTCTTTGTTATGTTCATAGAAAACTATTGGATGTCCTTAATAGTACCTACTAACCTGAGCACTTTCTTCCTTGTAATGTAATTGAGAAGAGATTTGTACTTATTCTACAGAGAATTTATATATAAACTAAAGACAAATCTCTGCAGTATATGCGCTTGACAAAATGTGTCTGTACCCACAGTGTTTTTCCTATCATTTGATTGAGCAAATACACATTTTAAAGTGAAACTTGCATATCTTCTCAAAAAGAATTGTTCTGGAATCTAATCTTATTTTCAGGAAACGTATCTCTCTCTCTGTAGCCAGTCCTGTGTTCTCTAATAGCTTTTATCCCTTTAACCACTCTATTTACAATTTAGTCTGGGTGTTACTTTTTATGTTACTTTTTATGACTACACAGTGCCTAAACCAAACATGACTAGTTAATGACTCTTTGCTTCTTTTCTTTTGCTCTGCTTCCATAATTCTGGCACTGAGTTCGTGTTTGTGCCTACTATTCTGCAGTTTGTCTAATTTGTGCATTTCTGCTACCCTCTCTCCTCCTGTTGCCTCCCTCTTCTGTTTTGTTGCCTTTAGGTGTATGCATAGCTCATTCAAAACAAACTTGATCAGTTTTGGACTTGGAATGATTTTGTGGTTTGTTTGTTTTTTTTCTATGTAGCAATAGGGTTTGTTTTTTTCAAAATGGGAGAGAAGCACAATCCTAGAGGGATGTAGTCTTTTATAATATAGAAGGAAAATAGTATGATTTGTTAGTAAGCTCTTCCAGATGTTTCCTGCCTAATTTAGCAGGTCAAAAAAACATGTTGCACCCTAAATTTTGTAGAAGTTTATAACACTGGCATTAATTAGAGTAGTTGCTGGAAACAAAAAAATCTTTCTGTTTCTCTCCGAGATTAATAATTTGTTGATCTTGCAACTTCTTGTCTGACAAATGGGTTTTTTGCTAATTCTAAAGTATAAACTCTGAAACTTAGATTAGCTGTGTGCTGAATAGTTTTGTACATAAATTTTGCCTGTTTGATTTCTAAATGAAAACAATGCACTACACTAAAAAGCTGTATGTAATCAATATAATTATCCAAGGTAAGTAACTGTTGTGACACATTTAATACTAATACAGCCCGGCTTTATGAATTGACAGTCCTTCTCAATGTCTTTACAGGGTGCTGATAAGTCTGTGAAAGGCCCAGATGGACTAACTGCCTTTGAAGCCACTGACAACCAGGCAATCAAAACTCTTCTTCAGTGACGGATGGACTGATATCTTAAATGTCTCTCCTGTGGCCTCACACTGCTGCCTGTCTGTCACTCTTTGCATCTTCCAGCTTCTTCAGCTAAATACTTTGGGGGGAGGGAAATTCTTTATGAATCAGACTAGTTAGGGGCTTATATCGAAGATAATCTGTTTGGGGAGGGTTGAAAACTATTATGAACAGTGTCCCTCTAGGACTTCTTTTCAGTGCACAATCTCTTCCCATTTCTAGTGAAAATGGAAGAAGGAAGACAGACCATGATCTTGAATTTTTGGCTTGTAAACCTCCTAAGTTAGTACTAAGATTTTTTTTTTGAAAAATTCCTTTAGATGGAAGTACTGTGCTATGTAGCTGAAACTAATTGTGAAGGAGGCAATAGTCCCATGCTATTAGTGTCTGCTGTAATCTGAAGTGTAGTAATGTAGGTGGCTGGGTTGCTTTTCTCTCTCAGTGGGTAGCTTTATTCTTCTTCTGTCTAAAGCTTACGTTGCAGTTTTGAGGACTTTTGATACAAGTTATTTGAGCTGTTCTTTATATTGACTAATTGGATGTCACACTAATGTTTTTCTGACTCTTGCGTAAACCAGGAAAGATCAGTTGAGGCATGGTGGTGTTACACTCCAGAATATCTGCCAAGGTACTTTTGGATGCTTGAATTTGAGGTTTTTCTGTTCCATGTTTGTTTAGTCCAGGACAGATGTGTTAAGCAACTGTTTTTGAGAGAGTTCAAAATGTCACTGTAGTCATTTCTGAAAGGATTGTAAGATGGAATTTTTTTACTCACCATGTCAGCATAAAATTTATAGACATGCGCAAAAGCTATGGGCTATTTGGTACGGAAGGATAATCAAGTCAAATGTGGAAAATGAACAGTAATTATTTAGACATTCATATCAGGTGAATATTGTTGCTAAACTTTTCTGGTAAACTTTTAAAATGCATGTAAACTTTCTAAGTTCAGGTGTTAGGAACAGGAAGATGTACAAGTAGAAATCTTAGCTTGCTCTAGCGACTGGAAGAAAAAAAACTTAATTGTGAATATCTTTGAATCGGTGTTTCATTGACTGAATGAACCTTTTAAATTTCATTAAGGCAGAGGGCTTGTTCTGAAAGTTCCCAGTGCAACCATACCACATCAACCATTGACTTCTAGATAAGATTTACTATACCAGTAAGTATGACAGTACTATGACAGCCTTGATAATTCATGGAGAGGTATTTAATGATGTAGGGATTCCTGTCACATCTTATGATCCTCAGGAATGTCTGAGCTTCTGGCTTTCATCTTGAAAATTTCATTAGACTGCTGATTCACCCAAAATCGAATGACAGGTTTTATAACAGAAATGTACCACAAACTATACATCATCTTCTCTTTTGGAGTAAGGATTTCAAACTTTCTGATAACATACACAGTGCGGGAAACAAATGTATATAATGTCTCATGCTGAATTCTTAAACAAAAGTAGCTGATATTATTTTGATATCAGTGTTGAAATTGAGAGGATGTGTAGAAGTAGGCTGGTGACTACCCCTCATATTTAATGGGGACTTAGTTTTACTTGAATTGTGTTGCATATTATGACTGAATGTCTCAGCTATAAAAAGCCTTGCATTTAAACTGTAAAATGAGAGCAGAAACTGATTTACATGCGCACATCCCATAAGAAAAGCAATGGAGAAAACAATCAACTCTGCACTGTACAGTTTATGGCCAATTACTCTTTACTTCTTGGAGGTGGGTGGCAAGGAAGAGCAGAAGGGTTGGAAATCAGTGATAAATCAATTAGTGAGCTGCTGATAAAAGAAGGAGCATGTTTGGTGAACAGTGCTTTTAATGACTATTTAAAGAGAACTCTTTAATCTTATCTCTGATCAGTGCTGGATTGTCATGTCATTGTAATAGTGTGAACACAGACTACAGGTTTAACTCTATTCAGCTATGGAAGTAACAGTCTTTGGCATAAATTTGCCTCCATGTTATCCTATTAATTACTTGGCTATTAAAATGCTAGTCTAGAAAACTGCAATCTGTTTTTATGTGGAAAACTTGATTATTCAAGTTTTTTGTGTTGTTTAGTGTCAGGTTGTTTGGCCATAGTGGTTTTGGTTTTTTTGATTGGTGTTTTTTTTTTTCTCTGTATTCTTTCCTGCCCTTCCCTTCAACTCTCATTTAAGTGAACATTATCGTAGTAAAGAAACACCATCTTTGTACTAACTCTTATGGTGATTCACTGAGGCAATTTTGCCTCCCTTTTTCTACAATTATGTGGACACCTTATTTTTTTCTTACTACACTTGAGGGAAAAATAATGCAAACAAACTTCAGTGAGACAAGTGTTAATTTGGCTGTAATATATACCCAAGCTGCCTTTCAAGATAGATAGTTAAAAGATGGCTTTTAATGTTTGGCTCATAAAGAAGAAATACTTTTTTGCTTTTTGCACTACATAAGAGGTGATTGATCATTTTGCCCAGGATTTAAAAAAAAAGCTTATGCTTTTGTAATTGTCTAGAAACTGGGCTTGTTCATTTGTTCCCTTCTTGTTAGCTACATTGTGGAAAAAATAATGGGTGGCTGCCTCTATCTTTGAGTAGGTCCTAACTAGATACCAAACTTTAAATTATTTTACATTCTATAAACAGAATTTAAATATTTTGTCAGACTGGAATCGCATGTACTTGGAAATCCACTCTGTTCTTAAACTTTTTCCTTTGAAATTTGTGCTGAATAAGTTATAACCTTAAGTATATTTTGGATTTTGTACCCTCTGCTGCTTTTTCTTAAGGAGGAGCAAATGGGGAAAGGAGTATGGTAGTTAAATGGAACTTTATCCTTAAACATAACATTGAATTATTTGTAGAAGATGCTGGTGAGAATGGAGTGTCGTAGGTCAAGCAATTGCAGTGTTGCATGCAAAATTTCAAAATGAACTTGTCTTAATTATATTTTGTAAATGGATAAACAATCATCTTTCTACGCAGTGACTGAAGAAAATTAGTGCTCTGTGCATTTTGATATTTGACTTCCTCTTTTCACCATTGTTAACTGTTTTGACACAGTTGGGTTCATCATTATCATGGTTCATAGACATCAGAATGCTAAATGATACTGTATTTTTAAGTTTGTGTTGCAAGAATGAATGGAATAAACTTGAATTGTGCAACATAAGAATGGAGAGTTTTATTTCCTTTTCTACTCCTGTGTTTTATTAATCTCTGGCTACAGCTTTTATTTGCCTGGAAGGCATCTAAGCTCCATCTCACATGTACCGTGGTTAGAATGTTCAGGTACTTATAAGATTTAAATGTGGAATGGAAGCTGCACTGAGAACTAACTATATAAAGTTGTTTGGATTTTTTTAAATTACATCCATTTAAAAGAGGTTTTGATTAATTCTGTGGTCTTGTAGTCTGCACTTCCTGTTTAAATGGTAGTGCGTAATGTTGAAGATCTCTTATTCACGTTAAAGTCTAAGAGACAGTCTGTAGATAGAGGGATGTTCCTCCCATTACCTGTGAAGACTAAAGCAATTTATTCTCTCCTTTACTTCATCAAATAAATTGAAAGTTATTTACAGAAAGCACAGCTGAAATATAAATAAAATAGTATAGAAATGTGTATACATTATTCTTGTTGCATCTTTATGGTGACTTTGTCAGAATTTCCTTTTAAAACTTTGCTTGTCAGTAGAGATTTAGATCCAATTGCTTGAATTGTTTGTTACAATTCATTTTAAAATACACACTTTTAAAGAAAAAATACAGGAAAGTGTTGTGTCAAAGTGGGAAAACTATAAATATGGAAAAATATTTCAGAAGAAACCAAATTTGTCTATTTTTCTGTACTGAACTTGTAAAACAGGGACTTCTAATCCTGTATGCATAAATTGGAGAAAATTAAGGACATATCATAAATGAAGAGCAGTTTGAACAGTGTGATAACCAGTGGCAACTGATGTTTGTGCTTCAGTCCCTGTGTTCATCTTACTGGTTTTTTGGGTTTTTTAATGGACAGCTTTTCTGTGGGAGGAAATACTGGCTAAGGTTCAGAATGCAGATTTCTTTCACTCGCATTCCTCAGTGGTTGGCTAACCAAATTGATCTATATATATAAAGACTCTTCCTAATGCTTGTCTATGGTTCATTTTTTTTGGAACAAATGGATTTCTCAGCTCCCTTCCAAAAGGAAACTAGCCCAAAAGCAAGCAATTTTTTCAATTGCATCACTTGGTTGTCTCAGTTTTGAGAAAGGCCAGTTTAAAGCCATTGCCCCTTGCCCTATCACCACATGCCCTTGTAAAAAAATCCCTTCCCTAGCTTTCTTGTAGGCCCCCTTAAGGTACTGGAAGGCTGCTATAAGGTCTTTTCTCCAGGCTGAACAACCCCAGCTCTCTCAGCCTGTCTTCACAGGAGAGGTGCTTCAGCCCTCTGATCATCTTTGTGGCCACCTCCGGACTCACTCCAACAGGTCCGTGTCCTCCTTGTGCTGAGGACGCCAGAGCTGAAGGCAGTACTGCAGGGGGGTCTCAAGAGCAGAGTAGAGGGGGAGAATCCGCCTTGTTGAAATTCATGAGGTTTGCACAGGCCTACCTCTCAAGCCTGTCCGGATCCCTCTGAATGGCATATCTTCCCTCCAGCGTGTTGACCGCACCACACAACTTGGTACTGTCAGCAAACTTTCTGCGGGTGCATTCATCCCACTGTCCATGTCATCAACAAATGTTAAACAACACTGGTCCCGATACCAACCACTGAGGAATGCCACTTGTCACTGGGCTCCACTTGAACATCGAGCTGTTGACCTCAACTCTCTGAGTGCGACCATCTAGCCAATTCCTTATGCACCGAGCGGTCCATCCATCAAATCCATGTCTCTCCAACTTAGAGACAAGGATGTCATGTGGGACAGTGTCAAATGCTTTGCACAAGTCCAAGCAGATGACACCAGTTGCTCTTCCCTTATCAATGCTGTAACTCTATCATAGAATGCCACCAAATTTGTCAGGCATGAATTGCTCTTAGTGAAGCCACCTCTGCTGTCACTGATCACCTCCTTATTTTCTATGTGCATTAGCACAGTTTCTAGGAGGATCTGCTCCATGAAAGCCATGGTGCAGCAGGAAGGCTATGACATAATCGCCATCATGGAAACCTGGTGGGATGAGTCTCCTGAGTGGAGTGCTGCAATGAATGGCTATAAGCTCTTCAGAAGGGATAGGCAAGGAAAGAGAGGCGGCGGAGTAGCCTTATATGTTAGAGAGTATTTTGACTGCCTTGAACTCAACGATAGTGATGATGAGGTTGAGTGCTTTTGGATAAAGATCAGGGGAAGACCAATAAGGCAGATATCCTGA